CTAGCTTCCACGCTCCGCTCAGAATCTATAAACTTGGTATGATAACATAACTTAACATACATAAATCGGGTCATTAAATTATATATCTAAGATCCGACTAGTGTGCATGTACGATGGTGCATCGTTAAGTGTATGGTTTCAAAACAACTTAGTTAAGGTTAGTCTGCCGTGTGGGTCCGCTGGTGCTTCGTGAAACTACCACTTACACTGAATTACTTGTCACATATCACATGGGTACGGTTTCTCTCCTGTGGTGTGGACGTGGTCAGTAAAAAACATTGACACTAAAAAAAGTGTTTATATTTATTATATATTATATTATTTATGGAAGTCTGAAGTTATTAGCGTATGAGAGTTACGACACACCATAACTTACTCCCCGATGTGATGGGCTCCAAAAGATTTTTAACTCTACAGTATATTCAACTGCAAAATACACTGCAGATTAAACATTATTAATCATTCAAAAATGTATATTGAAAAGGGAAAATAATAATAAATTTACCACATCACGAACCCGCAAACATTCAAAAACAACCGAAATATATTATTGAGGATGTAATTAATGACTAATGAAAAATGAACATTTAACCTTAATACGAAAACGAAATTTCACATCAGTGAGATGATCTAGAGATCAAAGATAATGTAACTCAGATCCGGCGTTCATGTCTCAAGTAATGTAAAATCAGTGGGACATTTAAATCCAGTGTACGTCCGATAGTGATTCTTTAACTGTTATTCTCTTCAGAGTGGGTCCGTCGGTGTACCGACAAATTGCCACTATCGCTGAATGATTTGTCGCATATGTCACATGGATAAGGCTTCTCTCCTGTGTGAGTCCGCCGGTGCTTCGTCAATGTGCCACTGTCGCTGAATGACTTGTCGCATATGTCGCACGGATAAGGCTTCTCTCCTGTGTGGGTCCGCCGGTGCTTCGTCAAATTGCAACTTACGCTGAATGACTTGTCACATATGTCGCACGGATACGGCTTCTCTCCTGTGTGCGTCCGCCGGTGTATCGTCAATGTGCCACTATCGCTGAATGACTTGTCGCATATGTCACAGGGATAAGGCTTCTCTCCAGTGTGCGTCCGCCGGTGTACCGACAAATAAGTGCTACTGTTGAACGACTTGTCACATATGTCACATGGATACGGCTTCTCTCCAGTGTGCGTCCGTTGGTGATTCGCCAAATTGCCTCTTACGCTGAATGACTTGTCGCATATGTCACATGGATAAGGCTTCTCTCCTGTGTGAGTCCGCCGGTGCTTCGTCAATGTGCCACCGTCGCTGAATGACTTGTCGCATATGTCGCAGGGATACGGCTTCTCTCCAGTGTGGGTCCGCCGGTGATTCGTCAATGTGCCACTATCGCTGAATGCCTTGTCGCAAATGTTGCACGGATAAGGCTTCTCTCCAGTGTGCGTCCGCCGGTGTACCGACAAATAAGTGCTACTGTTGAACGACTTGTCGCATATGTCGCAGGGATACGGCTTCTCTCCAGTGTGCGTCCGTTGGTGCTTCGTCAAATTGCCTCTTATGCTGAATGACTTGTCGCATATGTCACATGGATAAGGCTTCTCTCCTGTGTGTGTTCGCCGGTGCTTCGTCAATGTGCCACTATCGCTGAATGACTTGTCGCATATGTCACATGGATAAGGCTTCTCTCCTGTGTGAGTCCGCCGGTGCTTCGTCAATGTGCCACTGTCGCTGAATGACTTGTCGCATATGTCGCAGGGATACGGCTTCTCTCCAGTATGCGTCCGTTGGTGCTTCGTCAAATTGCCTCTTACGCTGAATGACTTGTCGCATATGTCACATGGATAAGGCTTCTCTCCTGTGTGTGTTCGCCGGTGTATCGTCAGATGGCCTTTTCTGTTGAATGACTTTTCACACACGTCACATTGGAACTGTCTCTTGTCCACGTTCTCCCACTGATTACAGTTGAGATCGTTCATTTAAATGATTTTTTTATCGTTTATTGCCGTTGCACTTATTTAATGTGAATGAAGTCTGGAATTATTGATTTATGTATAGAAATTAGTATTTCCTATAGTATTTACTTTTGTAAACTACTTGGTTACCACACTTATTAGACCATTCTGTTTATGATAAATTAGAATTTATTTTCACTGCCAAGGTTTTAAGCTAGTATATTTTTTCATACTACAATTTAAATCTTAACATATTATAAAACAAAGTTCCTTTTTCTCTCTGTATAATTAGATCTTTAAAACAATGCAACGGATTTTGTTGCGGTTTTTTTTTTTTGAATTGATAGAGTGATTCAGCAAGAATGTTTATACGTCTATAACATGCATATTATAGTAGAGAAACACCGCCCTTTTTTTGGTAGGTACAATCATATTATTATCTCGAAAAGAACTCTACTTATTTTAATACGGTTTTCACTAACAAATCGGTCACGGAGAAGCTTTTAATGTGTAATAATTTTCTTTGGTGAAACTAATTGGGTGGCCCAAAATAATAAAAATCTATTTATTCTATATAGCACTCCTGAATGAATAGTGATACACATCAATTTATCAAAATGTTGTTAAATGCAATTTTAATGTTTCATTATTTTAGTCATTATAAATGGGATTTTTAATTTTTTTTTTTTTCAATAATTTATTATTCTTAATAATGTATAGTTTACTTGTATATACTTAAAATTACAATTTAAGTGCCATTTCACCTTTGTTTTATTGTAAATCTGGTTTCAGTTTGGCTTGTGTCATTGTTTCTGCTTGGAAAAAAAATACTTTTTGATTTACGAAACATAAAATTAAACTAAATTTGTTATAATAATATTATTTATAACATTCAAATGGATAACTTGTCTTATAACATTTAAGGTCAATAACTCTTAAATACAAAATAATAGATATGATTACGTATATACAGGTATTTTGAGAGTTACGATAAACATATTCGTTTATAAATGGTTGCTATTGGTTATAGGAGAATTATAGTAAACTAGCTGATCCCGTGCACTTCGTTTCCCGTTAAAAGTACCAACTCTATATGACTCAAAAATTGTTCAATGCGTTATTTAATATTCGGTGTATGATGTTCTAGATTTATCTTAACTTTTCTGTTGCCCGGAATAAAAATTCTGAATTGCAGCAGTACATTATCCGATAGGTAATTTACCTGCGTTAGATCGCGGACCCCGTGCTGTTTGTACGTAAGTGTATGATTTAACTCAAAATGTACCTAAGTTATACCAAGTTTGACGTTTTTACTTAATTCCACCTACCTATAAATCCTAACCTAACCTAACCGTACTAAAATCCGATGAATAAAAAAAACCAAATTTAACCCTTTTTAAATTAGCGTATCTTCTTCCCATAGGTCATTCATTTATATTATATAAGATATATTTACAAAAAATAATAATACAAATCAACAAACATGCCCGATTAACCAATAGCAACCAATATAATATAATACACCATAGAGTAAATAAAGACAACGGTATCGAGTTCAAATCCCAGACATCAATAAATAGTTTTTGCAGTTTTTCTAATTATTCGGTTGACTTTTTAAAAAATTTCTTTGGTAAAAACCTTCACCTGGCAATTACGAACATCTTAAAAAAAATTTGAGCAAAATCGGCCCAGCCGTTTTCAACTGATGCAATTTCGAATTTTTTGTCTCCATTTTTATATACTCGTATATAGATTGAAAATTGGAGGGTATATACAGCTTGATTAATATGAGTTAATATGCACAATCTACAAATAGAGATAATATTTTATATGACGTGTATACCTATCTATCTATTATATTATTATTATTATTTATTATAATATTATAATACATCGTATAAGGAGATGACGTCGGGAGTAAGGACCAGTCAATGACCGAAAAACTCGTACATACATAATAATATCTTTATATTATTATATTACGCTGCAGGTATGAATATAATATGTGTATAATAATAATATTATATGGTTGAGAACGTCCAGACAGGCGGTCGCTGTGTATTTTCGTGTGTATATGTGTGTAAGTTAATAATAATAAATTATGTTAATATAGGAAGTAGTATATGTATATAATAATTATGATTATATCGTATTCCCGGTTAAGATAACACAACAAATTTCCGATGTAATTGAATAGTATAAACTGAGCTAGTTATAGGCTTGAGTCCTTGAGAAATTTTTCCATTTTTCTAATTTTTTTTAAAATTATCCTCGATAAAATCTTTTTCATTTAGTAAAAATTATTAAAATGTTATGATAGGTCTCTTATAATTTTCATTAATGGTAGTTTTAAAAATACACAGGCTCAATTATTTGTTATATGCTTATAAAGTTCCAATTTTGACAAAATTCATAAAAGTTTTTTCTTCATACCTAACTTAAGACATTTTAATAGAAGGTTTCCAACAAGTTTTTGTACCTCTATCAAATTAAAAAAGTTCCCCAGAAAGTCACGTTTTCGATCTTTGTTAATTTCTTTTTTAGCTACTAAATTTGATTATTTTTACAAGTGTGCTAAGTTGATACAACGTCTCCGCTCAGAATAATTTTTCGTTTACAATAATTTATCAATGTAATTTAAATATAACACATCCATTACAACGACATGCTTGACACCCACTGTACAGCAGAGCGGTACCCACTTGTCCACCTTTTTTCATAATGTATTAGGTGTCTACTATATTTATATACTTATTAATTTATCAATATTATTATATGAAGTATAAATATATTACGTGTCTTATTATTAATTAATTTACTTATTCATATTATTGTAAGTACAAGGTACTATATTTTTAAGTATATTTGCGCGTAGCCCCCTTATACCTAGGTAGATATATAATATCATAATTCATAATATTAAATATTTAAATAAATGCAACTGCCAATTTACGATAATGACTTTTTAGGCCCCACAAATTTACTCTGCCCTGAGCCCCGCAAATCGTCCGGACGGCCCTGGCTCCGTCTTCACGATACCTACTTTGCTCTCTCGCTCACTCGTCAGCCATTTCCCGTTTGGGAGTGCTGTACAAAACGTGGTTTACCATATCCGTTGTTGTTCGGTCGATTAGCCGTTTTTCGTGTGTTAACCATTGTTGACTGTCGTCGTCCAGTCTGTGATTCAACATCAGGATCGTTAGCTCGTAATATCCAGTGCCGAGTAGACCTACTCGAATATACGTCCTCGTGATCGCAGTTGAACCTTCGTAGCTCCACAACACTACGGTGCATTCGTTCGTGCCCGTGCTCCAGCAGCTCAGCAGTCTTCAGTTCGTCAGCTCAAGTCGACTTCTGGATGCAGTCCAGTCGGTGATTCCCGTCCCACTGTATTTGTTATTGTATCATTTTCCCTGTATTGCTCGTATTGTACATTACAATATGCACCTATAATTATAAACCATTTTTGTTATTATTTATGATTTAATGGCCCTACTCTACAACAGTCTTGAGGACCTCGAGCCAGGCGATATCTGGGATTGAGGATCGCCGACCCAACAAATGTCATAGTTTTATATTTCCCACTGGGAAAACGAATGGTGGCTGCAAAAGTAAAGTAATAAAAAACACTCGTTCCAAGTCTTTAATGACGAACATGTTCAGTGGGGCCCATTATCTTCTTGATGAATAAATAAAAAAAATAAATAATTTCTCTCAGAAACCAGAAACGTGTAAGGATCTTGGTTGATGGGCTTTTACCGAAGCAGCCCCAATAATGTATAATATGTTATAATTTAATGTGATACAATATTTGATGACACTATCAACAACTGTAGACGATAATAGCGGTTAACCTGTTGAGCGTAGAATGCAGTTTAAGGGATAATGTATATTATTGTATAATTTTACTGGCACGCGAATATCGATCCCAATTGATACTACGACACGGGTGTAATCAGCAAACGTCTTTAATAACTCAGATTAATGGTATATAAGTAGTACTAAAACAGCAGAAAGGAGGTACCTAATTATATTTATTTAATAGTCTAGTATTATATCCTGTATCGCGATTTGTGACAAGGAAAAATACATAAACACTGGTATTTTTATGATTATAAAAGATTAATTGTTCGAAATCATCAATTTCAGACTTAATTTACGATCTACATGATAGTAGATACTGGATAGTAGATATTTGATGAATCCAATCACTATAAACGACAGTGTAGTGTAATCAGTGGCGCAAATAGGTGGGGGGCATAGCCCCCTAAAAATTACTCAAAGCACCCTCAAAAAATAATAATATAATATATTATAATTTAAAAAAAATGTTTGGGACCTTGAGCCCCCCCTCCCCAAACATTTTTAATATTTGCGCCACTGGTTATAATTAAAACGAATTAACATGCGTATATATATATATATACATGTTAATATCAACTTGCCGGCCCCCTAAGATCCGGCACTGTCGTATATCCTATATAATAGTATACAGTGTACAGACCTACTGTCGTATGTGGCCAACCTTAGGTGAACTTTTTAAAAAATGTCTCATCTAGCGTATCAGACATATTTCATAACCGAATATAGCATCTTACCTCATTCACAATTTGGATTGCGATCCAATAATATTCGGTTAGGTACTGCACAGATGATATTATACAGCTATATTATAATTTCTAGAATTTTAATTTGTTATTAATTGTTATTTTATATTAGATTTCAAAGATATTGACATAGGTAGCAGATATGTTTGAAAGTATCATTTGGAATAAGAATTTGTTTTATTTCTTTATTTATTCTTTGAAAACCATGAGTAGGAACTTTCAATGAATCGTTATTATAATAAAGAAAACACTTTATCACTTTGAAAAGATAAATAGTTTAGCTAAAAAATCTATAAAATTAATATCTTTATTTACACATTCATTGTTTTAATAACAACGACACAATACTTTCACATTCGTTTGAGTATAATATGACGTAAACAAATATAAAATTCTAAATCGTTTATAATTTTTTAGATAAAAAGTGTTTCTCTGAGAATCTGTCTGTATACAGAATGATCTGATTTTTGTGATGGATTAATTTCATCATATAAAAAATACCTATATTATAGAGAAAAATGTATAGAATAAAAATTTAATAAAACTCAATAATCTCAAATAGGCACTGGTCAAGATTTTATAACAAGCTTATAAGTTATAGGTATCATATTTTGTGATATAATGCTGACTACTATACCAAGATTTTTGAGGGATTTTTGCTGTATACAAATAGTAGATATATTATTATTTTTTTTAAATTACAATTTATAAGCAAATTTAAAATGTGTGTACCCATATTATAATGTAGGTAATCTATTTATGTCCATAGGTACCTAATTATGGTTTCTTATTCCTATGTCGAAACATTTTAAAAGATAATAATATAATATGATCCTTAAGAATACATAATCTAGACATTTCCTGTATGTTCAATGTACATTGTACATATTATAGGTAGTTAAAGTAAATGTTTTATTTCAACTCATTGCATTTATATAAGTGATGGCCAATGACCTTCGAAAATCACGATTTACACTTTTTGCAAAACGCGGATAACATTTAGGTACTACCTACTGCTGTAGACACTCGCGGTTAATTATCTGTATAATATCTTGTCTAAAGATTTTTTTATAAAGATTTTTTTCTTACATGCCCGCAGTAAATATAGCATTTTTGGTGGTCTGTTGCAGAAGTCGTACAATAAACAACTAAACATATTATGTACGACAAAACGAGTATATTATATATTATACCTACAGCACGAGGACATTAAAAGTAATACAATTATACAGGTTGATTCACTGAGCATACTCACCTTCATTTTGCATTGGAACGAATATATAGTTTAAGAGATATAAAAAATGTATGTAGTAATAGGTTTAAGGATAATACTGGGTACAATAATACTATAATATTATATAATATAATTTACTTAAATTAATATAAAAGAAGTACTCAGACGATATTATTATAGATTGAAATAAATCGATATCATTTTCATATCGATCATATCTTCCAAATCTATTATTATGGATAATTGTCAAAAGCTGAAGAACTCAATAACTATTACCAAGTTTGATTTTCGATTTAGATAAGGAAGATTTTCAAAAAAATTATCTTACTAACAACTTACAGTAACAATAAGACGTATGGTTATCATTTCCAAAAAATAAGTTTGTATTCACTACCCTTCCTTAATGGTATAAAAATATTAAAAATATAATTAAAAATATGACCCTTAAGTAGGTTTAATTAAAAATGAGAAAAACCAGACTTCGTTGTTTAAGGACAGATGAGTGATGCTGAGCATGCTTGAGAAACCATCCTGTATATTCGGTTCACCGAAACAGCTAGTGTACAGTACAGTTTATCGAACATCGTTATCCGACAAAATATATTATATTATTACCTAAGTCGTTACTTGTTGCATTCCAGTATTGTTTTTTTATAAACTGTCCTATTAATTAATTGCCAACCAAGCTAAATAATATTATACATTTTTGTGTCCCCAATATTTTTTGCATTTTTTAATGTTTTTTTTTTCTGTGATAAGTACCTGAATGTTTACTATAATTGTTGTATTTTAGATTCTATGTGAAACAAAAAAAATATCGTATTAGCCTTACAACGGTTTATACTATACAGGGTGATTCACCAAGCATGCTCACTCCCTAATTTTTCTTCAATAATGCAGTTATTCAAAATTTGATTTTTTTTTTGGTTTCTATATATTTTCAAATTCTTGAGATTTTTCGTACTACTCAAAGAATGTCCTGTGGAGATACAACTTCAGTTTTACAAATTAGAACACATCTATTCGACAATAAATTAAACGGTAAATAATTTTCCTGAAACTGTTGACGTATAAAAATCAAAATTTATAGTTTTTGAGTTATTTAACTTTATGTTCTAAGGATAAAAGGTCCATAGTAATGAGTTTCTAAAATATGGGCCATAGGTGCTATGGTGATTTGAAAATTTTAGTTATTATTATTAATAATTTGTAAAAATGGTTCATAAATACTAGATCCAATTTTCCTATTTTATACATGTAAAACCATTTTTAAGGACAATTATCCTTAATACAAACATTTTAATAACGAAGAAACTATACTCATTTGAATTTTGAATGTGGTACATCAAAATGTTCAAAAAAATTATCCACTAATTAATTTACAGTAAAACTAGGGTTTCTCATTTGAAAAATAGAAGTTTGAACCGCTAGAGGACACTCCTTAATTAATACAAAAAAATTCAATAATTAGTAAATATGGTCTTTGAGTAGGTATATTTAAACATTTCAAAAAACAGAATTTGAATAAATTCATTATTAAAGAAACAAATGGGGGTGAACATGCTTGGTGAATCACCCTGTATAATATGTCCGAGTATATGGAACGTATTCAAATTTTTCATATAGAAGGTTTGTATGTATAATTGTAGATAATTTTTTTGTCAAAAAAAACCACTCCACCAAACTCCGTGTAAAAATAACTCTGAGTAAAAAAGAAAACCCGCTCTAAAAGTTGTGATATAATTTTATAGCTGTTCTTGAACTATAGATATAATTGATGTTCAAATAGTCTTCTAAATAATTGAACCTGGCTAGGCGATTTTAAAACACTCGATTAGTAATAGTGTAATACAACGAATATTTCTATGATAGTGAACTATATTAATATGTACTCATTATGGTTTAGTATTTTTAAATTTCTAATTTAAGTCACTAAGTATAGTTCAATTACTTAACAGTCTATTTTTGTACACACATGATATCTATAGTTCAAAGACTTAGATATACAATGTATGTATCACAACTTTTAGAGTGATGTTTTTGTTGATATCATATTATTTCGGGAACATATTATTGGTTTTACAATGGTTTTTTCTTTTTTTTTTTTTAAATATTAGTTTATAATTTGTTTATAATATGTTAATAAATGATTGCCATTGGTTTCAGAATATAATAATAATAGTAGAGATAAGTACTTATTATTATTATTTTTTTTATATATTTATTGGTTGCCTCATTGATGTCGGATAGTGCATTGTAAAGCGTGCCGTGGATAATATTATCCAATAAAATGTTGAAAATACGTTACAATAATGTCTAGTTTAACTAGCTATAACTCTGTAGACATATTGTTCAAAATTATTTGAAAATACAGCATGCACATTGCACATCCACGTGAAATGTTCAACCACCTAGGTGATTATATTTTAAACCTTAATTATTTAAATAGACATTTTCTATACTTTCTCGAGAAATTGTTTTCGTGAATCGTGTTGCTTCCTGTAGTTAAACCCGACAAGTTATCACATGTTGTATTGCCTATGTGTGCATTTTAAGAAGCTCTTTTCTTTTTATACTTACCATCACCCTGCCGGGTCGTTGTATATATAATATATATAAAAATATATAAAAGTATAATAAATTAATAATATATAACACCAACAGATCACATATGAAACGGAGAGTAGAAGGCTTAGACCACAGTGGTTTTTACGACTTTAGCCAAAGTTTTAGCCAAGGTCAGCCACTTCACACCTTGGTGAGACGGTCTTGTCCCCTCGGTGGGGTACATCGGACCCCTGTCACCAGTGTCACCAAACGGATGTTCTCGGCGGCAACTCTCCTATAGAAGCTGCAGATCGGTGGGTTTTGAAACTCTCGCGTCGGTGAGAGCTGGGGTCTGACTCCAGACAAACTCCTCCTCTTCTACTAAGACGCTATTTCCACAGTCTCCCCAAGGCTATCCACATAAGCCACAGGCTCACGGATGTCGGGCGTGGGCACGAGTAGTGCACCAGCACGCCAGCTGGACGTGCGTAGCAAAGCTAGTAGAAGCACTGGTATCGTTCAGGCGTTAGCAATGTCGGGTTTCAGCAGGGCTCTCTCCGACTCTCTCGGAATTAGATTTTTGAATCCAAGTATTGCCGGTATTCACAACAAATGGTGTCCCGCCAGCATCGATGCCAGAACAGGGTTGCTGCCGAGGCACGACCTTTGTTGAGCGGTACGGTTTTTCAAGACGGATGGCCGTGTCCTCACCGAATCATCGGGTTTGTGTGCCTTATAGATAGGTGACTTCCAGTCAGTCTTCTATACGCACGTGTTCATCCACGGGTTTGGCTGGGCTCGTGAATTCTCAGTCAGTATTATGCGAGAGAGCCCAGCGTGTGATAGGAGGTCTGCAGCTGAGTCATCTGACATGCACCGGTGTGTTTCACATAATCCTACCGGTGTGTCGCGGGGCAGTGTAATACTTCCACTCCGGTAGACTGTTCCTGAAAGGTTACCTAGAAAGGCATGCCATCCATCACCTCAGTCCGAGTCAAATAGAAACCCGTGTCGAGGTCTTTTGACACGTCTAATAGGATTACCCCTCCTCAGTACGTTTCAATGTTGAAACACCTGGAACACGACTGTTAGTTTTGTCGTGAGTCCGCACCACACAATTCGTCCTCTCCGATCGCTTGCACCATGGGTGTGGATTTTTCTTTCGTAGTTAATGAGTGGGCATTCACTTAGCAGATGCTCTAAGATGCTCAGATGATCTCCGTAAGGACCTGCGTATGGCAAGCTGCCTTACTTCTCAGGTTTAATAGTGAAGGGGTTGGTCTGCTAAAAACTGCCAAACCAGTCTGCTTCCCCTTAATTTATGACCCCTCTACGTTATCACCGGTCAGTCCAATTGACCATCTCTGAGTCCTTCCTTATACATGGCGTCCTCAGCCGGCGTTGGGATCGGGACGGGGTCACCGAGTGACCCGGTGGAGCGAAGACGCCTTCCATAACAACTTCAAAACCTTGAGGTGGCCTAGTATACTTTCTAAGCTCCCTGGGTTCTGCCATCCTAGAAGGTGCACGGTCAAGGTAATCCTGAGAGGTTTTCGGAAAAGTAATTACACGACGAGTCGTTTTAAGCGTTGGAGAGCTAACGGAGGCCTTCTGTGATTCTCATCTCACGCAGTTCTTAAACACAGATGTCTGAGACGCAGCTATCAAATCGTGTGTCACCGGTTGATTCAAGCAATCAACCGTATACGGGACGTTGGCATGGTGTTAGCAAGCTTTAAAGCCAGTATCCATCTGTCACGACGTGGACGGGGAGGGGGGCCGTCGAAGAACGCCGAGATCTGTCAACTCCGTGACACCCAGCGAAACACACAGGCCTCCCCACTTGGCTGGGGTTTCGCTAGATATATAAAACCGACAATAGTTGATGTGGATTTCGTGTAAATAATTTTGGTGAATGATAGATTTCACATATAGTCTAAAGTTGATTTTGATATTTAAAACCATTCGGTAATTATTATAGGTATATTAAATGTTATACATAATATAGTTCAATACAAGGTAAATATAAAAAAAAACCATACCTAGTTATTTTTAAATGTTTGAAAAGATAATATTGTCAATTACCAGTAAACTAAATTGAATTAAAAATTGTAGTATTAAAATTTTTTTTTTATTCTTATGTATTATGTATAAAAAAAATTAAGGCTTATTTTAGTACATATTACAGGACTTTTAAGCGAATAAATGCATTCATATTTTGATACTTTTCAGTGCATACACTTCCGGATCCTAATTGTAATGGTTATAATAACTGAAGCAGTTGAAAGCAATCGATTCACTGCAGACAATTTTACTCTGTTAATGAGGGTTAAAAAAAAATATTGTCATATTTCAGTGATTTTAAGTTCATAAATGCATCTATATTTTGGTAATTTTCAGTGCATATACTTCCGGACCCTAATTATAGATAATAATTTATAATTGTGCAATTATTCCGTGGTAGCTTTTCAGACCAACCGGTGCTCTGCGGTCTATTTTATTCTGTTAAATAAGGTCAATAACATTTTATTACAATTATAATATTTATAACCCACTACAATAATAATTAAATACAATATTTGTAAAAATTAGAAATAATGTAAGTCCATTTTATTCGTGAATTATTTTGAATTTATAGTTCGTAAAAGCATTTTTGGGATTTTTAGGGCATTACATTCCCAACTCTAATAATAATATAACATTATTCGTAAAATGGCTTGACATAATACTCGTAATATATATATTACCGAAACATTTAGGTATCTATAATATTATAATCAGTATTTAACTTTATTGAAAATGGCAACGTATTACTATTGTATATACACAATATCGTTATCTTCATTGTTCATTAATATTATTATTATTTATACGTAAATAGTATTACGTCTGAGTAACCGTATTATAATACAGCCTTGACGGGTGATCGTGGAATGTGCCATGATGAATAATATTAAAACACAGTCGGTCCGCAATCATATATCATTCAAATCAATATATCCAGCACTGTCGTTCGAGTAACATTCGTCTGATCAGGCAGTCATGACTAATAAGACGCGAACTACGTGAATATTATAGATAGATGCTATTATTGCCATTTAATCGTAATCACGGTTCCCATCAGTCGTTGGAAAAAAATTATAACTATGATAATTCAATGATGGACGAAAATTCTCGTCTCTGCGAGTTAAATAAATCTTAAAAGTCAATGTTTTTAAATTTTTATTTTACGTCTCCGGGGATCTTTTGTGATTGTTACAGTGATTATGTAATAAATTCAAAATTGTATATGAATCACGAATTCTGGCAGTCAAGAACAAATCCAGGGGGACTAGTGGGATTTAGCCTCTCCCTATTGGAAATGTTATATAGATAACATAAATTAAAAATATAAGATGTGAGCACAATTGCTAATATTTTTATAAAATCTTATCTATAATATATAAAAAAAATCGAAAATGGCTTATGGCTTTAAATAGCATAACTTTCCAGTAAACTTACTATTTCTAACTGAAATATAATTTACAACATTTAAAAAAATATGTACGCCTATAAACAGCTCAAAACGAGTCAAAATAGTTTGAGAATTGTATATCTTTAAATATTTGGTGAAAATCTCAAGTGTCCAAGATTATTGGTTTATGAGTTACACCAAAAAAATAAAAATAAAAATAAATTCAATTTATTCAAAAATTGTATTTGAGTAGAAGTTACCGTTTATTTTACTTACCTCCCCCCAACACTTTCTAAAACTATTGACAATTTTCAATTTTGACCCGTTAAAAGTATCAATTACATTCACTTTTCTATCAGAAATGATACTGATTTCGTAAATCGGAGCATTTTTACTACCACAAATGTTTCAGTTAACTACTTTTTAATTAAAAATAAAATAATTGTATCGCGATGTATTGAAGGCAATTTAAATAGTTTTTCTAAGTCAGTATAGGGCTTTGAGACCCAACCATCATGAGCCAGACCGACACTGAATACTAGTCCTTATTTTTTGCTCGTACGGTCTTCCGCTGTAAAACTATTTCCTTTTTATATACCGTCTGCCCATCATTGTAAAGAAAAATAATAAATACATGTCATAAGGTTCATACTGTGCGCACACTACGCGACTATACGGGACACGTTTTACGTACTTATATTTCTTTTCCTACCCTAACCCATTCTTAACCAGACACATGTTAGATATATATATATCATATTTATAGGATTCAAAAACTGTCATAAGCTTATGAGTTATGTATATAGACGGTATATACGCCCTCACGGCAAAGGACACATACCGTCGTCATTTATATTATTATAATATTATATACATTGAGATTAGTCCTTTTTCGTTTTTGTCGTAATACTATGAAATATTATTGTGTGCCCAAAATGTACTATACGTGCGATTTATCACGTTTGAATGAAACAAAACTTATATTTTATGATGCATAATATTATGTGATCGAAACGAGTTTCTGACGTGAAAAAAACGCAGACAGTTGCACGTCATCATGACAAAATAGCCTGTCTATAGCAATGTTTTTCAAACTATGAAAACTTATTTACTTAATAAACTCATTTTATTCCACTCGATTACTTACCGAGTTTAAGTGACTTTTTGACCACTGTTATTTCAACATGGTCTCTTATATATTTGACGAGAACTCACTGTTTAAGTGACCACTCGGCACTGAGTCATTTCGATTTAATAGTAGGTTCACATTATTACACTTGATGAGTCATTAGCATCTATTTAAATATAATATTTTTTTTGTGATTTTATAGTAAAAAAGTTCGACAAGTGAGTACTACTCTGCTGTACAGTAGTTATCGAGCGTATCGTCTTAATGGATGTGTTATATTTGAATTCAATGATAAATAATTTTATACGAAAAACGATTCTAGCATACTTGAATAAATAATGAAATTTAATAGTTACAAAAATATATCAATCAAAATCAAAAATATCTCATATGGATATAAATATTTTAGATTCTGAGTGGAGCAAGGAAGCTAGTGGTTTTACAATGGTGTTTATTTTATTTTATTTTATATTTTTATATTCTTATATTCTGTATACAAAATTTCTACCAGAAGGAGTTCTTCGATTTCAATATATAGTACATTATCTTTTAGCAAATTGGATGAAGATGGTACTTTCGAGAGGTAATTTTCCGAATTTATCAATAGTTATTTAATGCCACTGTAAAAACCACCGAAACATTACGAAAAACCTCAAAAAATTGGATTTTAATTTCTAATGCTTTGTTTATTACCATAGAAACGAATAAAAAATAATAATATTATAATATTAATTTAACTTACATGATATAATAACCAATAACAATATGAATATCCAGACTGACAAACCGATTCTGCTCAGAATCGTTGTTCTTATACAATGATATTATAACAATGAATTAGTTTAATACAATAATTATACATGATCCACTTATAACCTACTGTACAGCAGAGAGACATCTACTTAACAGCTTTTTTTATATATTATTATTGTACAAATATTAATATATTTTTCTTTTTGATTGAGGCAGAAAACATGTTGAGAGCCTTCTATTAAAATGTCTAATGTTAGCTAGGTATGAAAAGAAAAACTTTTATGGATTTATATTGAAACATAATTTAAAACATTTGAAAAATTATCATGGCTGTAAATAGTTCAACAAGAAATAGATTAAAAATTAAAATAAAAAAAAAATCCAACATTGTAAAATAAATACATTATTCTTTCGCTCCGTTCAGAATTTAAAATGTCTGCTTTTAAATTTTAGTAAGTTACTGTCAAGTTAATTTTTGGAATTTCTGTTTTCCCATTTTCCAATTTTAATCAGCTGCATCTAGCGTAATAGTTTAAAATGTTTGGATTTCAACCACTTATTTTAATCACGATAATAACATCGAATATTCGAACAATATTTAATAGCAGCAAACAACTATACCAGCTACCTATTGCAATATAAATTATCTTGATGTTGAGCAATATTCTCATAAGACGTACCTACGATACACAATATATTTACAATATTTATGGTCATCAATCATTTCGGAAATATAATGTAATTATAAAACATATATGTACATAATTTATTATTGTACAATGTACATATTATTATTATATATCATCTGAAATCGAATTACAGGTTCGCATTTGTTGACTTAGTTTACTGGTAACTCGTGGATTATGGAATGTAATTAATCATGTTCTTGTCACTTGTACTTAGGTACTCAATGGTTTAAAATCAACGTAGGTGGATGTATAAATAATGTTTATTTTTCGATGGGACAAAATAATATCTAAGGCGTAAAAATGAAATGCTTGTTCAATCGATCTTCTGGTGCAATATTATTTTTGTGTCAAGAATTCCATCAATTATAATGACCACAAATAGTTGCGCCTCCTTAAATACAAATTAGATATTATTATAGTTTGAATAATCGATTGATAATAATATTAAATACCTACTCTAAAAGTCTTCAGCCTTTTTCATGCATTCGGTAAATGATATGTATCACTTTGCGCAACCATTTTGTTCTGATGATCACAATCCGAGTCAATATGTAATACCCTGTATATTTCATTATGATTAGAACCCAAACCAAAGACATGTCTATTTATTATTTTATTCCAGTATAATATAAAAAAGACCGGATCCGACATACCAGTGCTATTAATGCCTATATTAATAAACCTAACCCTTTTTATAAGACTATGTGCACCAAACCGAACACCCAAACCAAGAATATAAAAGTATTTTGACCAGACCAGACCTAATACGGATCCCGTTGCGGTGCAGGTAGACCGGGACCGGGCTGGTCTCCAGTTCTACATCTGATTTTAACAATCTTTCAAATTTCTATTACCTATTCAAAATAATAAATTTTAATTATAAACTATATGGTACCATTAATTAATATTTATTCAATGTAGATTTATATACGTTTTCAAAATGATTGTGTTGCCATGTTAATAAAAGTGAGTATGTACTATGTAAATACATTAATATTAATAATATGCTTACAAACAGCAATCATTAATTAGGACACGATGAAAATTATAATAATTGTATTACTGACGATAAGACAAGCATATTTTTTTGAACTCAATTTGACTAATCACATCAATAAAGGATTTATAGCCAATGGCGAAAAATATGATGCTAAAAAGTATCCTTTCGTAGTCTATATTTACGCAACCATTCGTCATCCAGATGGCAGTGTCAATAGGCCAGGTTGCACAGGTTCATTGGTGAAACAATTTTACGTATTGACCGCTGCTCACTGTCTTGCAAAGAAGAATAAAAGGAAAGAACCAGCAGAAAAAACTGATGCAAGTTTATTTCTAGTAAGTATACTCATGCAGTACTTCCATTGTGATTCACTAATATTAAATCATTCACAAAAACAAATTTAAATAGGTGACAACTAATGTTCTAATTTATATATAGGTGTACCTGGGATCATTTAACAAAAAAATTACTCGAAAAGTAGCCGAGACATACGTACCAGAAGGATATTTAGATTATACGAAGAATAAAAGTGCACCACAAATGAGTGACATAGCTGTGATGAGAGTAATCTCTGTTTAGTTTTCTCTAAACTATAATATTATAGATGTTTATCTGTACTTGACCATTCATTAAGAAAATCCACTCTTGCAAGCAATAACTTTGCCAGGGTAACCTCCAACCACTACATATTATAATTAGTGTAATATACAGAATGTATAAACTGCGTGTTATAAGTGGATGTAGCTCTGCTGTACAGTAGGTTACAAGTAGGTAACTTTAATGGATGGTATTACATTGAAATTCATAATGATATAATATCATTATTCATTGTATACAAAAAACCGATTCTAAGCGGAGACGGTTTGTCAGCCAAGAATATTTTATAATTTATATTATTATTATTAATACGATAGCCGGTAAATTGAATTATATAATTTGAATATACTACTATATTTTCGAAGTTTCAAGTTTGTTTGCAGCTTTCAACAGTGCACATACTTTTGGGGTGATAAGTTTCGATCCCCAATGAGTATGTTTGAAATTATAGTCTCCTCCAACTATAAAACTAGCACCCAAGGTACGGACAAATTCAGTGAACTTAATTTCATCGCACCCCTTTGCGATGGACAGTAAGTCACAGTGACTATGAGGTTCTTTATCCAGTAATTTACGATAACGCTGAACGCTTGTGTATGTTTTTCAGAGTATTTTTCGTGTTCATTATGCTTTATGGGCTATTTTACTGTTACAGTAGAGCCACCCCCGGGCTTTAAGCTGCCTTTAAAACTGGGGTGCAACGTAATATACGTTTATTAGATCAGAAAAGTCCGGATTGTAAATTGGACTTCTAATATAAGAGCAACATCGATGTTATCTCTATGTTAGAGGTCTTCAAGCTCCTGTTTTCATTGTAATAATCCATTGACGTCCCATGTTATGATCTGAAGTGTAGGGTTTCATTTCTCTTTCTATTTGGTATTTTAGGACTGGGTCTTGTTTCTAACTTATCCATTATCACTGTAATATTTGCTAGTGTTTGTGTTGCATTGGTTAACCTTACCACGACTAAAATGTTATTAAGCCTATTTTCATTGTTTTCCTTAGGTTGATGAGTTTACTTTTGAGGTGCAATTTGGTTATCTCATGAAGAACCTAATTGAATTACAAGCCTATGTTTACTGAGCTGGTTTCGGTTGTATTCTTTGCACAGCAGTGACTTGTTTTGGGTGTGCTCTTTCTATTGCTTTTTTTTATAGGCAAGGCATCCCTTCCAATTGTCCGTATTATTTTCAGCACAATTTACTTTTGTCTTTTTAGGTTTAGGGCAATCTGTGGTTCTATGACCTTCGATAGGTATACACTTAACGTGCAGTAAGCATTTTTGATGATATTTGATTTACTGAAAATCATACGACGCATATATGGGTACCTACAACACCCGAGAGCGGAAACATACAATTGCTCTTTCAGCGACTTCGACTATGAAAGTTATATAAATGATAATTAATTTATGAGTTACTTAAGTTTGAACATTTCAGAAAAAACTTTATTTTTTTTAAAGTTATTACGTTCCGAATTATTTACTCCAAAAAAATATTTATATTTTAAAAACTGTAATAAATAAACTACTTGACTTAAATAATACTTTTAACCATCAACATTTTTCTAAAAATTATATGTACAAATTGGCTAAATTAAATTTTTCCAAAAAAAATTGTGTAAAATAAGTTACTTCTTTGTAAATCGTCAGATTTTTATCGTTTTGAAATTAATTATATTAATTTTTCATAAAATAAAATAAATAATATAATAATAAATTAAATAGATAATTATAAATTAGCGATGAATATATATAAATATATAATAACTTACAATTTATATTTATACGTTTATATTTATTTATGATAGAGCTCAATTCTATTATATTATTATATACCAAAATATTTACTTATATTTACACTTATATTTCTTAATAGGTATAAAAATATTATTATATTTTTATTTAGCTAGAAAAACCATTCAAAGATGTCAATATTTTTTTAAAAATTGGTGGCAAACCGAAAGACTTTGAAAATACAGCCCTAGAATGTACATGTATTGGATTTGGTCTAGTAAATACAACAACAACAGATTTAAATGGAAGAATGATGACCACTAGTGTCAACTTTGGTCGAACGGCCTGTAGAGGATATGATAAGTATAATAAACACAAATAATTAATTTATTATCTGTAGATATTATAGCTTATTAAAATATAGCGATGATATTTCATTGCGTTGGCGTGAATATTTGTGTTCGATTGCGGGCCGTCTGACGATGATATGTCCCGGAGACAGCGGTGGTCCAATGATTTGCAATGGCATGCTTTATGGAGTATGCAGTTTTTTTTTTAACCACAGAGCTGGACAAACTGTATGTGGTGGTCCTGACATACAGACTGTGCACACGTTTATATACACTCATTTAACATTTGTAAATAGTATAATAGATCCGGATGCAAATAAGAAGAATGAGAAGGAGAAGAAGAAGAAGAAGAAGAAGAAGAAAAAGAATAAGAAGGGTTCCGGGAATTTGATCAAACCTCACCTTATAATACATACGATTTTAACAATATTATTGTATAGTGTGTTGACCATTATTTTAAAATAACAAAATGTGTAAAGGATATTTCTTATGAAATAAAATTGTGTTGGGTTATGTAGTTCCATGTGTCTGATCCAGTAGTAATTCCTGTTTAGTAATTATTAGTTTAAAACAAAATGGGTACCTGGGTACTATTTTTTTTGTTATAAATAATTATAAATTTACTCATATTTTATATTTGGTGAACAATAAATAATAAGTAATAAAAGGGATGGAGTGGCCGATCGGACTAAGGCGTCGGTTGCGAATTTTTTTGTTGAAAATTGAAAATTCTGCCAAACTACAAACATACGTGTTTACAAAACATACAGGTAAAAACCACCCAATGGCCCAATTTGCCGCTGGTTAATTAATAAAAAAATAAGTAATAATCAATGAATAATTTACTAATTTATTAAACAATACTTTAAAAAGGGGGTACCGCTCTGTTGTACAGTAGTTGTCGTATATTTGAGTATGTTATTCTAATGGATACGTTATATTTTAATTCAATGATAAATAATTCTGAGCGGAGACGTTGTGTCCTCCTATAAATAATTCTTGTATAAATAATAAAATTTAATAATTAGAAAAAAAATTAACAAAAATCGTATATATTTTATAATAGCGTAACTTTCTGGTAGTTTTTTTTTTTTGTTAAAAGTAGAACAATTTGTGGGGAATCTTCTATGAAAATGTCTAATGTTAACTGCTTTAAAAAAAAGTAATTTTTTTATTCCGTGAATAATTTTATATCATTTAATTCAAATTTAACACCATTAATTACAGTGACCCACATGTAACCAGCTACTGCCTACAACTGTACAGCAGAGTGACACCCACTTACCCTCTTTTTTCTTGTATTTGTAGGTGTGTATTATAAAAAAAATTAATTATTGGTTAATAAATTGTGTATCATTGTTGTCGGGTGGGTAGTTAAATTCAAAATTTAATACACCGCCTTTATTTTGTTTGATAGCCGCCACTGCAGTAAAACTAATAATTTTAGCAAAGTTTAGAAATTGTCGAAACTAAAAGTTGTTTTTTATTGTTTCTGCTCTATAGTAGTGTTGAAAGAGAAAATGGGTGTGTTATCATTTAAAATCTTTGATAGATCATTGGAGATTCTCGAAAAAAATGACTTGTTTTATAATAGGTCAATTTACTCTAATTTTAAAGCAACACGAAATTGGAACTTCTTAACACAAATTCCCTTTGTAGTACATTCGTATATGACAGTTGATGAACACAATTAAATAGGTAAGGTACTTCAAGGTATGAAAATTGTCAATTTTATCAGATAAAACTTCCAAAAAATTTTCAAAATCTCAAAATATTACAATATTATTTAACCTATCTTTTTAATTTTTATGTAAGCATTGATTAATTTTTAATATTAATTTAAGGGCTCCGCTGTGTTGTATTTTACATTGTATAAAATATACTCCCTTATTGAATTTCATCTAATTATTAGACTATTATATTATTTAATAGCAATCCATTAAACAATATGTTTTAAATATACTCTATAAGTCTAAATGTATTAAAATATATTATTAGGTATATAGTTATAATGATGAACATTACAATAATATATTACCTACCATCGAAACGGCTATCACAACCACGACACCAACAACAACAACAATCATTGAATCATATAATATTATTTGGTGCCTAGCCTTTTTCGCAGTGACGAGTAAAAAAAAAAAAAAAAAACCATTATAATATTATGATAATATATAAGGTGTCTCTATATTTCTATAAAATATTATAGGAGACGGCCGCGGGCCGGTTTATCTCGGAGGCGCTTTGGTCGTGGATCGGCCCTCGCCCAGACGTGCCGCAGCAGCAGCTGGTGCTCCCCGACCAGAGACGTTGCACATTGTTCGGCTGGATGAATAACGACAGGTATAGGCACCTAATATTATAATAAAACTTATACGCCTATGCGTGCTGTGCGCATTTCCATGCCTTGGTCGTGACTCGCGGCGGAACTTCGCTGAAGCCACCCAGTCACGACTTCCTCGTAACACCCCCGCCCGACCAACCCCACCGCCCACCCACAAAGAAGCACCGTCCGCGACCCTGCCGAGCGGAGTTTCGATTGTCTATATGGTTGCACGGCCGAGGAAAACGTTCACGTGCTTATAATGTTCGACGATCGTTCTCCGCAATAATAATATCTAACGATGATAATATATGAAGATAGGCATAGGTTGACGATCGTCGTATTATAATATTATTATACTTTGTGAAATCTATCCGTTAATGAAATGTATTATCCATTTCACGAAAAGTCTTTTTCACACTTGGTGAAATACGAAAGTATTTCATGAAATCGTTACTTTTTTCATGAAATGATGGTCAATCCTATAATTTTTTTTTTACAATGTGGTCATTCGCTTTGTGGAATAAAACATCTCACACCTCACAATATTAAGAGGCCCCGCATGTCGTGTATAACATGGACAAATGCACGTTAAGAATAACCCATTTAACTCTGTGAAATATTACAGTGAACTGTTATATTAATCATATTATTATGAAATTTTCAAGCGATAATATTAAATAGTGAATCTCTTATGTTTTTTTTTTTTTATATTTGCATATAAATGCATTATGTTATGCTCATAACTCGCTAATCGCTTTAAAATTAAAACATAAAAAAAACCTATGAATTCACTAGATAATATTCAGTATTATTACCAGAAAATTGTATAATATGACAGTTCACTCTAATATTAAACATAATAGAGTTGAATGGATTATATAGAACGTACATTATGCTATTAACGTGCATAACACATGTGGGTGTAGTGTCCTCTTATCTTTTCTTATTATACTCATGCCATATTTAATAATGTACATGATTTTTTACATAATAGTAAATACCTACAACTAAGTCATATTTATATAAAGATACGTTAAGTTATTGTTATACACAGACATTTGTATGAACATTTAATTCAAATAAAAAAAAAAACTTAATTAAAAAAAAGAAAGATTTTACGTAAATGAAAACATTAAATAGCAACAGCTTATAAATAAATCAATTTTCATAAAAAAATGTTTTTACATAAAATTAAGTCATTGTTCATATCTACACGTCCTATCTGATGTATCCGACCTATATAGGTGCCAATGTACTACGTAAATAGCGAATTTGTGTTTGTTCCAATTTTATGTTGATGGTTTTAACATTAGAGTAATTCTCATAAATTGTTTTTTACAATATTTTAATAACCTATTGAGCAAGATATGAGTACCTATGTAAACTATCACAATTTAAAAAATTCTTATCCCTAGTTCTAAAATTAAAACATAGATAAAATAAACCGTATTAAAAGAAATTAAACTGCAATTTTGATATTATGGTTACATGACTTACATGTTTTTTTATCTTTATTGAACATCGTGATTAATCATATAATAATAAATAGAAAATATCACAAATTTAATTAAATATACATTCAGTCATATTTAAAAATTAAAACGCGTTTTGCTAAATACATAATGATTTAAAAACATAAATAGAAATAGAAAACATCACATATTATCTCCCAAGTTCACAAGTAAAAAAGGTGCTCTGCTGTACAGTATGTTACAAGTGGGTCACTGTATAATGGATAGTATTAAATTTGAATTCAATGATATAATATCATTGTATAAGAAAAACAATTCTGAGTGGAGACGGTATGTCAGTCTAGGTATAAGGCATATTATATACTTATCTATGATATTAAAAAAAATTGACCTATTATAGGTAACTATAATAAACTCCTAATTAATCATATCACAATATCCATTAGGTACTTATAACGCGTTATACATCAAAAACAAACCCTGATACTATCATAGATATATAATAGTACACTTTAGAAGTTTCAAGTACCCACGAATAATATTATTCAATCACAACAAAATAACTAAAATCGTAATTCTTGGTTTAAATATGAAATTATACACTTAAACAATTATTTGTATATACTGTAAACTTACACCAACTAGATTCACTTTCCCATCGAACAAGATACTGTTAAAGAAAATCGAAGCAGTTTTACTTCCCCAAACCGTGATGACAGACACAAAAAAAAAACATCATTGTAAGATCAATACATTCATCTTTCCACTCAGAATCTACAAAACACACAATATTGTAAAATCAATACATTCATCGTTCCACTCAAAAGACAAAATATGAATTTAATTTAAATCAATGTATCTGAATATACAGACCGTTACGAAAATAAACCGAATAATAATCCGAATATATAAAAATTCTTCCGTACACTAATTACACTAAATTAATTTAATATAACATTATGATAATTTGTGCGCATTATAGAGTAATGAATCATCGTGTGTATAACCAACTCATCTTGTGAATGTAGGTACATTGTTATAGTGTTCGTCGGCGAATCAAATAGATTTTTTTATTTTTTTAGGCAAAAACATAACGATCACGCTCTGCACGTAAAAAAGTACTTAGGTGGTGCGACATTGCCAGATTTTCCGAGGTTTGCACTGTTCGCAATATTTGTTATACCCATGACGTTGTGAAACAGCCAACTGTTAATGTATTCAACACAGAAATATTTCGTTTTACAATGTAAACGACAACTGCTGCAGACGACATTGTATCGCGAATTGGACACGTTTTGGCTTCTTGTCGTGTTCGCGATCAATACCGCAGGTTGATGCGATCTACATAGGTAAAATGGTAAATTATTGTTATTAAAAAATGCTCGACAGAAAATAGTCGTATCGCGTTGGATTGAATTTTTACAAACATAGTACCTAAATTTAAATTTCCAGTTTATAAATTACTGTTACGCACGTAAATTATTAAAAAAAATTAAACTATTTAAATATTATAATTATTTACCCCAACTATTCAGCATATTGCACAATCTATATTTGGTATACACTCCTTATTTAAACGCTCTCAGCTCTGCAAACACCATATAGACTTATGACATAAAAAAATATAAGAACCTACCTATGCAATTTATGTAAAATTTCAG